GGCTGTTGCCCAGTGCCCATTTCCACTGTTGGAATGGCACAGAAGTCAACAGATGCTGCATGTGACTACGTGACTGGTATGTCTTCTTATGAAATAGCAGAAATACCCTTTTCATTCCCAAATTGCTTGAGATATTCTACCTTTAAATGGGTATGTCATGGAAACAACATGTATACATGTGACTTGTATTGTTTTTTCCAGGGGGAGACCCTTATTGATTATACTTTGTACTATTGTCTGAGTCACATGAACAGCTTTTGCCACTAACCTTTGAACTCATAGATTTTCTCTGTTACAAGATGCTAAACTTTGCTCATCATAGCTGTGATATGACATATTACAGATTTTTTCCTGGTATCCCAAGTTGATCCATATCCCTTTATTTGTCATTGCCCTTAAATATAAGGGATGTCTCCATCTTGGAAATTCTACATCCCTCATCTAAACACATCTTTATGATCTGATTTTTATGAAGATTTTGCATTGGAAAGGACTGTTGCATACCCTTCCTCAGAGTGATAAATTTTTGGTCACACAACACTACCTACCAAATGCCATAAATGTTCAAAATGTAGTTCTGATACATTTTGTTCCACCTCAGCTTTATATTGGTTGTCATTGTCACGTAACTTGCTGATTTACATATTTAAAATCATTTAATATAATGTACTGAATCATCTGTAGTCAATCAGAATATTCTAAATACGAAATATTAAAATTTTCCTCAGTTAAAAGCTTTTGAAGATGCAGTTTTAACAATTATACTTATATTCACCTTTATTCTGGGTATAAGGACTGTGTTTAAAGAATATTTTCTTTTCTTTAAAAGATCATCCTAGTTTTTGTTGTGATTCGAATAATAAGTAAGAGGTTTTCTGACCGAAGTATGCTACTTATGGGAGTATCTATACTATGCCTAGCCTTGGGATGGTCTTTGGCATGCTTACCAACAGCCAAACCTAGTAAGTGCTAAATTTACTGACTTAGAATATTGATGTAAATATAATTACTGGAATTTTTCACTTGATTCACATAAGTCCATATAATGTTAATTAGAAAGTTGTAAAGTAAAAAACAAATGGTTAAGGAAACTAAATTTTATATACTGATTTAAAACATTTTATACAGTGTATACTTTTCTTGCTTTTTGAGCATTTTCAATCCATCCCTGCCTATTATATTCTGCTAAACTTGTATGTTCATATTATACAGTGAAATGCTTGTTGTTGAAAAATAAATTATACAAAAATTACTTTTTCAAAATATGTCTCCTTTTTTTTATACTCCAAAATATAACAAAATATCATTTTTCTGATTGTGAGATTTATTTAGTGGCATATCTCGGAAGTTTGGAACAAATAAAAATTTAAGTAGCAAAAATTGGCAGTTTTCAAAAATTACAATAAATCACAATTAATTGAAGTTTAACCTGTCTTTTTTCCAAATTTTAAATTTGTGTCCTCTCATTCTACTGCCTTGAGAATGCAGCACAAACTAAGCCTGAGGCCTTTATCTTAATGTTAAGATAACCCTTTCATCTCTGGAATCATACAAGCCTGAGGCCTTTATCTTAATGTTAAGATAACCCTTTCATCTCTGGAATCATACAAGCCTGAGGCCTTTATCTTAATGTTAAGATAACCCTTTCATCTCTGGAATCATCCTTGTATGACTTTTGTTATTAAGTCAACATCCTACCTTAGAGAATGCGACCAAAACTGTACACAATACTTCAAGTGAGATCTAACCAGCAACTTTTATAGAGATAATTACCTCTTTTCATTTGCAATATTAAATAAAAAATAATGTGTTCATGCACAATGACACATAAATTACAACTTGTAATTACAGTTTGTATATGAAAAAATGTTTCTGTTTGTTTCATTTAACTTTACTCGTGGCAACAAAGCACTGCCTCATTGGCTTGAATGATGAGCTTATCTACTAATTTACCAAGACATTTTCCTTCAATCATACTGTTTAGTGGATTCTTATCTGTATAAAGCATGCAGTCCAAATTGTTGTAACAAAAATGCATTACCATGTACTTGCCATAGCTAAAGGTAACTTGCTAACTATTTATCCAAGTATGAATGGATCCAGATCATTCTGTGATACCTCTACATCCTCAGTATAGCTAAAAATACTCAAGAGTTTAATGTCATTGGCAAAAATTTGCTAATATAATATCCCTATGATTAATGTAAATAAAAAAAGTCGAGGCCTGGCATTAAACCTTGAGGCCCACCAATAGTAACAAAAGTTGAGTTTTACTGGATTCCGTTAATAATAAATTTTTCCTTTCACCCAGCCATCCTACAATTCAATCAATTAGTCTCTTCAATCTACACCAGTGTAATTTTCTTAGCTAATATTCTGTGTAGCACCTTAAAAAATTTAATTACACCAAATCTACACACTTTCCAATATCCCATTAACAGTTAGTAGCCTAAAAAAAGTCCACAAGTTAGTAGGCAAGATTTCTCTATAGTGTATCTATCTTAGCCATTTTCTATATTTTATTAGATCATTTTTCATTGTTTCTGGTCTATAATTTTCTGGGACAAGTGTTATCTCATTTAAAAAGAGGAGTCACTTTTGCAGTTCTCCAACCCCTAAACACCTAACCAACTAAAGAATAAGTCTGGTTAAAAATACACCATACAGTTGACTTAATAAAATCAGAACATCAAATGTGATCATACTACAGTAAAAAATGAAAATTATTAATCAAAATTATATTTAAAATTATAGTATGCTTGCTTCTGTCCTTGGTAAGAAAAGAAAAATGGCTGTTCTCCTTCATTCCAAAAATTTAATTTACAATAGTTAACTTATTAAGTGGTATCTCTGAACTTGTGGTTTCATTCAGCAGAAATAACAATTAGTAAGATAAAATCCCATTTCAATGAACAGAAATTTGTTGTTAAAAATAAGAAAAGTAACCAACCTAATCTTTCTGAATATATTCCAGAATTAACCATGGAATTTATGGAACAGCTACTGCCTTAATCTGTATGCTTTATAATGTAACAGAATTAAATACAAGAGAATTATTTAGAATTTAAGCTAAATGTGTTAAATAGTGATGATCAGTTCTTCTTCCAGTTCTTTAAATTTCATATTTGAATTACATTTGTATGTTTTAAATGTCAGTAGAGTGTCAAACCTTGTAAATATATAAAATATAAAGTTTGCAAAGTGAGTATTGTTGTTTTAAACTAGGTCTTTGAAGTTCATATAATAGTTTTTTTGTTTTTTAGTTTTTAGAAATTGTTCATTTACTTTGATTATCATAACTACAAATCCAAAGAAGATTCTTAAGACATAAACATTTAGTTTCTAGCTTTTATAGCCAATATTTCCAAAGTATACATTATTTAAACTAGGTTGTAGTTGATTATTTCTTACTATTGCTCATTATTTGCAAAATTGGTATCCCTTGTGTTACTAACTTTGTTTTTATACCTGTAGATTTCATATGTTCCAGATAATGAGTAATTTTTGGTTTTTGCTTATTACAACATTCAGTTCAAACAACTAGGTGAAATCACTATTTATGTGGTTTAGATACATAGAGGACTCCATAACTAATTTATGGTATTAATTGCAATAGTCATGGTAGTTTAAATTTTTTTATGTGACTCGTATATTATTAAATACCCTGTAACAAAAAAAAAATCCTGGATCTTTAAGTAATTTCATACATAAATAGTTTGGAAACGTGTTTAAAACCTTAAGGTTTCCAGATGGACCCACTGGTTATTCTAGGGTTAAATTGTTTGACAACTATAGAATGCATTCTTGTTCTGTTTGAGGCAATATAAGTACAAAAGTTCAATCACTTTTTTATCACATTAATAGATTTAAAATATGTTTTTTTTTACCTCTGTAATTTGTATAAAGTTTATGCTTTGTTTTTTAGATGATAAAGGATCTTTACCATATCTCATCGTGGGAATTATTATTGATTTACTTGGGATTCCTTTCTTGTTTGTTTGTTCAACTTCTCTTCTATCTAAGGTGACAAGCAATAAAAATCAAGGTATTGCTTAAAAAAGTATTTTACTTCTGTTGATATAATAATTGTTTTTGTAAATTATATTGTGTATACTTTGCTATGTGCTTTCTTTTTTGGTTACTTGCAATGTTTATTAAAATTTGTTGTTTGGGTCTCTCTTTTTTTTCAGATATTTACAGGTCCAAAAATTATAACAAATTCATAAAAAAGCATCTTATGTAATGTGTGTGTACTTCTTGGATTTAATAACAAAATTGGTTATATAGGGCTTAAACTGGTTGGTAATAACTGTTAGTAATTGTCATCCAGGTTTTATAGGTATTAACCAAAATTTTTACTGATATACATTGATATCTTCTCTATATTCATTTGTAGTATGTATACACATTAGACTTAAATTTATTCTCTTAGATAGAGTTATTTATTCATTGCCATAAGGCATATTTTTGCAGTTATACAAATTTCACCAAGACTTAATGTACTGTCAGGTTTTGTATAGGGCCGGATTATTTACAGTAGGTGTCTGTGACTTGTTGGCAATAAATTTCAACAATAAACAAACAGCACGTAGTCCACTTGTTTTAAAACAATGTATTAAAACAAGTCAAACACATGTACAAATGTTCGTTACACTTTTGGTTATTACAGTTGTATCCAGAGCTTTAAATAATCCTCTCTTTTTGTCAAAGTACACACACAGGCTGGTTCAGTTACTTTAGAACACAATTTGACAAGACAAATTATTCTTCTCTACTCCATTGTTGCAATACAATCTGTGATACTTTCACTTTAAAATGACCTGTATTAACTCTTTATAGCTAAACTCACAAATATGCAGTCTAGATCTATTTAACTATATCTCGCACTAACTAACTTTCTCCATTTAACTTAACTTGAACTACATTTTGGACACATATTTATTAATTAGCCCGACTGAGGCCTAGAACTTTCCACACACCATGAGATACTATGATGTAATAATACTCAAGAAAAACTTGAAAGGTTCTAGTAACATGATGCAATAATACAACAATCACCAATTTATGACATTTAAACTACTCAATGTGTGATTTGCACATTTACGTAAACAAACCTGCAATAAACTAACATTTATAAAAATAACTACATTTAACACTCTCGCTATACTTAAATTAAAATAGTCATGTGTATCTAACATTTACTTACTTTTAATATTTTTATCATCTTGAAAGTTGGCTATCATAATAAAGCTCTTTTTTTTTCCATTCATTTATGGTTATTCATTTTAATAAACTAGGCCAATTAAAAAGCAAACAAATATCTGGAATGAACAAATGACACAGTGTGTTCCTTGGAGTTAAAAAATTAACAGAACTGTTGGATAGTTATGTAAATGCTTATGCTATCAGTTCACATTTGTGGCTTGTAAATATATTTTAAATGGATATACTTCACGTGTTTAATAGTCACTATTTACCATGTTGGATGTTTCTTTGTTGTTGTTTTTCACTTACTTTTACTCTTGTTTTCAGTTGTCAAAAATGAGCAGCAGCTTAAGCCTGATTTTTTTAAATCCAATTACTAACCAGTATTTTAAAAAGATGTGAAGTGACTGTATAAGATTAAATTTTGAGTATGAAATTAATTGTTCTGAATATGTCAAATAGTTATTAAATTCATTCATATGCTACCTGCAAATCACAATTGTATAGTATTCTTAACCTTAATATCATATTCATTAGGTGCAAGATAAACACGTACTACTATTAATTTATCAGGAACATTGATTTGGAATTCCATGTGTATGGTAAAGTTGAAACAATGTTTTTGTCTTGAAACTGAAGCTTTGTTGTAATGAAAATCATTGTGTTGAGTATATTTCCTTTGATTAATTCTCTGCAACAGATTGGCTTTATTCCTGGACCTCATTAATCTTGGTTTTATTATTACAACCTATATTGAAACTTTCATTGTTATTTTTCTATTTACCTTTTATTCCTTTCAATGCTGTTTCAAACACTGTCCACATCTTATGCTATTAGGGTGACTGGTTTTATATAAAATATAATAACTGTTTGACTGTTCTATTACAGCATAGTTTTAGACTAGAATTATTATTTTTCTCCAAATAGAACAGTGATTAAAAATTTTAATTTAATAAATTTCAATGAAAGTGCACAAGTACTGAGTAAAAAATATTGATCAAAATGTTGTATAATGCATGTTTTTCATCCGACACAAGAATGCTGTTATATAGCTATGCAAAACATTTTAAGAAGACTTAATAATGGTGTAGCTATTGTTTTGATTATTGATTCCAGCTTACATTGACCATAGAATTAATGATATTCATATGTAATTAGGTTATAATAAACGTTTTATTGTTATAAGTTGTATATATTTTAGAGAATTTTGGAAGGCTACTTTCTAGGTTTTCTGCATATCTTCTATTGTTATCAAATAGCCTTCTGAAAAATATACTAAAAGCTAATAAAAATATTTTTATTCCTTCTGTAGCATTAAGTCAGGGTTTAAGAAGAACTATGGTGAGTTTGGGATGTATTATTGGACCACTGTGGGGAGGTGCTTTGCTTGAACCACGTTTTCGTTATATTTTGTTTGCCGTTCCTTTTGCAGTTTGTATTCTAATCACAGTAAGTTATGTCTTCATTCAGATTTGTTTTATGTAAGAATTTTAGCCTTCAAAATTAAAATATTTATAAACATTATAAGCAGAAGCTCTTAAGTTTTTATGCTTTGCCAATTCAAAGTATGAGTTTACAATTTAGACTATATATTGGAGGGAGATAAATTACATCAATGTGTTTGCTTTTCAATATTTTTATTGATGTGAAGTCAACTTCTCTGAAAAAAAGAATCTGATGTTACATCATTAATTCTGTTTGAATGGTTATTATACATTTGACCCCCACGTTACGGAAGGGATATGTTCTTGAAAAAGCTTCCAAAGCGAGAAATTCAATACCTCGAACCTTATATTCCCATTGATTCCCATGTTATAAGTGTAGATACATTCTTATGGAAATTTTTTTGATCCACAAAAGTAATTAAAACACACATGAATGTAAGAAAACATTTTTAAACACATATTAAATGTAAGTGACATAGTTTAATAGTTTTACTCACTAAAAATAGTAGTAAGTACACAAAAATAATTAGATTTTACACAGTGGGAGAGGGAGACTCAGTTCTGGTACTGATGTCTGCCTCACCCTGTAAATCATCATCATCATCATCTTGATGTGTCAAAAGTTATTTGCTGTTTCTGCAGCATTTTCTCCTTGTAGCAGTTCATGACATCATATAGTCCTCTTGTAATTCTTAGGCTACTTTCACGACTGGGATCATTAGCACTAAGGATTTGCACCACTACTTCTACGAGGGCAAAGGACTGGAATAAGTGGTTGGTAGTCAGCTGAAGTTGGGTGGGTGGTGTTTCAATAATTTCCTCTTCTGCAGTTCGCTCTTGTTTCAATATTATTAGATTCTCATTTGACATATCTTCTTCATGGGACTTTAATAACTCAACCACATCATCTTCAATGATATCTTCAGCCTGTCTTGCAATTGCCACAATGTCTTGGTGAACTTTCTTAGCACTTTCTGCTTGGGGGAACTCTGTAAAATCATTGGTACACTCTGGCCATATGTTTCTCCACACGCCATTCATAGTTGACTCCTTCACTTCATCCCATGACTTGGTGATGTTGTCTGTTGCATCCATAATGTGAACTGTAGGCTTTTCATCTCCATCAATAGCTTTAATCAGTTGTTTCAGAGTTCTCTGTAAGTAATATCTCTTGAAATTGGAGATGACACCTTGATCCATTGGCTGGAGCAGTGAAGTTGTGTTCTTGGGGATGTACTCAACTCTTACATTATCAGAAAGATCATTCAAGTTTACTGGGGGGCTTGGTGCAATTGTCTAAGATGAGCAATGCTTTGTTGACAATATTACATTTTGCACAGCAGGACAGAAGAAATTGATGAACCAGTCATCAAAATACTTAGTCTTTCAAGCCTTCTTATTTGAGTGTCAAATCACTGGTAAATTATGCTTGGCATATCCCTGGTGTTTTGAAACTGTACACTAGTAAGGGCATTAATCTAAAATCTCCAGCAGCATTGATACCCACAAGTAGAGGCAAATGATCTTTTGAAGCTTTGAACCCTTCTCAGACTTCTCTTCTCAAAAATAAATGTTCTATCTGGAACTACCACTTTGTTCAGTCACCAAATCATCATACAAGGTTTTTGCCTTAGCTTTTATAACCATTGTGTTTAATGGCACATTACGTTGGATTTGGTCTTCAATCCACACACTCGGGAATCTTTCCATATTAAGCATCACTTCATTTCTTTGAAAATACAATGTACGAGCACTTAGACGTGTAGCTACTTTTGCACCTGCCTTGATTTTTTTCTTTATTATCACAAATTGTTCTCACTGTAGAGGTAGCAAGCCCTAAAGATTTAGCAGTAGAGCTAAGTTTCTCTCTGGCATCAAACCTCCTAAAAAACATCAAGTTTCACATCCAAATTAATTCTTTTCCGTGCTCTCTTGGATGTACTACTTGCACTTGAACATGATGGCCTCTTTCCAGACGTCTTGAGTAAGGGTAATACACTGCATAGTCTTGAAAAGCAATGCAAAGAACAACCGCATAAACAAAGCACACCACCTATGTCACTGATGCTTGGAAATATTCTAAAAAACAAATACGATTTTGGGCCAAATTGGTTGTTGTTTTTTTTGCATTTTGTGTTTAAAATTTTTTTATATTTACCCCAAAATTCTGTAAGGGCAAATTTAGTCTTTACTCCGAATTTATTGGTCATAATTTCCATATGGGTGAAATTCCATAACCCGAACATCCATAACATGAGGTCAGACTGTATTATCCTAAAAATAGTTTTCTTCATTTCTAGACCTACAAATCAAATTAATAATTAAATAAATTTATTCAGGTTTACCATGAAAACTGACTTTAGAAGTTTTTGTAATGAAGTTGATTGGTAAAATAGTTGTTTTGTTTTGCTTTTTTTTTTCTGTACAAAAAACTAATGGAAAATATTTCAAGTAAATAAAGTGATTCTACTTAAAACAAGAAAATACATAATCTTTAACTTAGACTTTAGATTATAGTGGAATTTTAGTAAGATTATTATTTCACCACAATTCATAATTGGCAGTTTTTTTGTGGTACTTTGTTATGAAATATTTTAATGAACGCTTTGAATAAGGTAGTTACCATTACCCAAGTACACAAATTACAATTATTAATCAAAGAATTGAGTGTTCATGTACAATATGTCTCTCTCTCTATATTTATCTATATATCATACTGATTGATATATGTAATGTATTAATTTTTCACTACATTTCTGTGTTTTTCAAGAGTTCTAATGTTCTTTGTTTTCTTTGTAGGTTATGTTTTTGGGCTCTTATCGTCGTCTCAAGACCACTACCAATATTTCCTCAAACTGCTCAGATCAAGACATTGCTAACCAAAATGATGGTGATATTGCAGATACCCATAGTCTCCTTTCTAATACTTGATATTTATTACTCTTTAATACTTTAATGATGTTTCTTATTATCTTGAAATAACTCATTTTTTGATTATGTGTTAAAAACTTTGTGAAGAAGAAGTACCAGCATATTTGTATGACCTTCCAACAAATGAATATGATATTTTCAAACAGCAGTGCAATTCAGAGATTTGAATTTAATAATAATTTATACTTGTGCCATTCAAATGTAAATGTTCAGTGGGAAAGTAATTCACCCATTTGGCTTAAATTATTGAGTTGAATTGTTTTTGCAAAGAATTGGTTTTAGATTAATTTGAATGTTGCAAGAAGAAAATGGCTGTATTTTAGGTTTATTCTATTTTGTATATGTTTTGTATATATATACATACATATGCTTGTGTACTTCTGTGCTACAGACAAAATACTTTATTTATACTCTGGTAAGTTATATTAAATAAGAAGTTAAATCACCATTACATTTGTCACATTAACTTGTTTTATATAACAGTGTTGCTGAAGTATTTTTTTAGTTAATCTTAAAGGTTCTGTGGTTGTTTTTATGAACTTCAGATTATATAACTTGAAATAGTAACTTGTGAATTTTTTTAGAATGGAAAAAAAAACTATTCAAGTTTTTTGTTTTATGATTAGGGTTGTCTTGGGTGTTTAAATTTATCTCAGCGATTCAGATGTGTTAGCCGCTATTTGCACAGCCATAAGTCAGATGGCTTGTAACATCAAATATCAGGTTTTGATATCTGTGGTAGGCACAACACAGATAATCCATTGTGTAGCTTTCTGCTTAACTACAAACAAACAAATTCAGACATGTATTGAGTCACAAATGAGTCACATATTTTAATATAAACAGCACATTTGTAAGAGAATGAGAAGTTTATTTTAGGGTATGTGTTTGAATCACCAACAAAGCTTGATATTATTCAGTGATGACTTATGCAAATGTTAGCATATTTTAACAAAATATATAAAGTACTTAACTATCAAATGGCAAGAAGTATTTAAATTTCTGTCTGTCTTTCTTTCTTCATTTTAATTTTTTTAAAGTATACATTTTACACCGCATGTTTCAGTGAGTGATTTGATGTTATTTGCAGTAACTAAAAGCAAAACCTATTAAAATTTACAGAATGAAAATGAACGTTCTGTTCTTTGGCATAGTTACAAAAATAATATGAAAAGGAACCTCATTGTGTTAGCCATACAAATATATAGAAAATCAAGTAAAAACAGAAATATCATTAAACATACAAGTTGGTTTATACCAGGATGATCATAGGCTAGCATGATTTTTAATTCTCTGTTGTCTCAAGATAACATTTCACTCAAAGAACTACATAATTTCCGTTTCTAGATAATAATTTATTTTGAAAAGTAATTTTGTCTACTTAATTTTGCCAGAGACAAAACTAATTTCTAAAAATTATGCAATTATATATTTTTTTTGTATATAGGTATTAACATTACTTACATGTGGTTTCCTAGCTTATTAAACTAAGAGGAAACCAATTTAAAATTGCCAAGCATATCTTCCAGCCATATTAGTACAGTGTAGCCCTATTATAATGCGATCATTGACGTCCATAAAATGTTATCGCGAAACAAGCGGGGGTTGCACTAAATCAGGGTTTTACTTAAAATCTTAAAAGTTATTAATTTGTAAACTATAACGAGGTTATGGTTACGAGGTCAGTCCCAGTGACCAAGCCCGTGTCGAAAGAGTTAATGACCCGTCACGTTATATCCGAATTCGCGTTAAATCGGGGCACTTAAAATCGGGGTTTCTATTAGAATACTTCCACTGCTGTTTATTAAGGTTGGTGTCACCTTTGCATTCTGTTGTGAACATTATCATATTGTGTTAATTTTATTAATGTAATAACTTTATTTTTTATCAATACCACTTGGATAGAACATTCACTAATTTTATATTTATTTTGATGCATTTTTTTTTGCATTGTATGTATGATAAATGAAAAGTAGGTTTAAAGTCATCACACATGACGCTAAAATTACTGTTTCCATGTCATGAATGTAAAATATATGTATAAAATAATAAGTAACACCAAACTTTGTATGTTAATTGTCTTTCACATATAGACAAATACACCTGGAGCTCTAAAGATTACTTTGAATTACCAATTACTTAACACCTCCCTATGTTCATTCCAAGATTTATTTTCATCATTGTTTAATGAACATTATGAACTAGTTTGTTCATGAAGTAATGAGTTTTATATGTGTTTATGAAATTATGAACTTTGGGTTTAGAATACTTATAATATAATAATATATTTTTTCTTTTAGTATATTGTAAGTAATGTAATATTTTGTTCATTCTTCAGTAAGTAGACAGAATATTTTACTTCAACATCAAGTTCTCAGACATGACTCATTTAAAAGACTTGGAAATCAAGTAAAACAATTATGTTGTCAAGTGGATACACTGAATGTTTCTTTGTATATTTGATCTCTCTAGCTTAAAATTATAATGAAACAGACAGTCGAAAGCTATAAACGGTTCTTACAACATCGTTTTAAGGCATCGAGAGCTTTTTTTTCTTATTGTACTCCGTTTCTAGTAGTGTTCTTATGTTATTTACTAATTTTATTCCAAAACCTGCGGTGTAGTACATGAACGTCCTGGAAGTTATCATTGGTAATACTAAGTTAGGTTAATAAACATTAAACCGAAACACTCAGAACTGTATCGGTTTGTACAACTGTCAAATACTCGAGGTTTTGGCGAAGATTTCATGTTGCTGTGTTTGTACCTGTTAAAATTTCTTTAGTTCTCGAGAAACTCCCTTTTCAAATATGCCATAGTGGGTATTTATAAAAGTAGAATTCTTCAAATACTGGAAATATAAAAAATTATCAATAATTTTTTTGCACTTAAATTGTTTAATATTCCTACTATACTTAAAGGTGTACATCTTTTTTTATTGATGTTGATTTTTTCCTAAATGTTGAAACTTGCGCGTTTAATGATTAAAGAACACATAGTCAGTGCTCTTACCGCTAGAATATAAATTTCTGTTGTTTCAGTGTGTATGTAAAAAAATTAAAGTTAATTTAACTACTTTTTCATTATCTCTAAGGGAATATCTCAGAAGTACAAAGCACTGTTTTCCTTGATGGTTTTTTTTATTGTAAGAGTTATTTGGTGGTGTATCCGAGCTGTTGGAAGTTGAGTCAGGAATCTTTTATTTGAAATGATGAAACAAATGTGTATACTTGTGATGTTAAAGTAATAAAATGTTACGAAAAAAAATTAAGTATTTTCATATCTCATTCCTTTACATGTGTGGAAACTGTTTTCTTCCTTTCTTTCTCCTGGCCGGTCCATTGGCCATGGCATGATCTGATGGTTAGAGCATTCAACTCGCAATCTGCGTGGGAACGAAACCCATACTCGCTTGTCCTTTCAGCCGTGTGAGCATTATAATCAATCCCACTATTCTTGGTAAAGAGTAAGAGTTGGAGGTTGGTGGTGTTGATTAGATGCATCCCCTCTAGTCTATCACTTCAAAATTAGGGACGGCTAGCGCAGATAGCTCTCTTGTAGCTTTGTATGAAATTCAGCAAACAAAAGAACGGCTCAATGGTTAGTGTGCCGGACTGTGGAGTTGAGGTCCTGTGGATCGAGTCCCGTTACCACAAAGAAGGAAAATAAAATCGCGCTTTGCACTTTGGGGCCGTGGGTGTGTTATAAGAGTGATGGCCATATCTCACCATTCTGTCTGACAAGAGTTGGCGGTATGTGGTGTTGGGGCTGCCTTCCCTCTGGTTTATCACTTCTAAATTAGGAGTGTATATACAAGATAGCCCTTTTGTAGCTTTGTGTGAAATCTGACAAATCTTGTTTCTCTCACTAAAACATTAAAAGATGCATTTCGCATAAATTAAGAGCTAATGATGGATGTCCTAGTTGTTGAATTCACAGCAATCCTATACCTTCGTATACTTATTTATTTTTTGAAAAAAACATGTTTTACATGAAAAAAAAAGGAACAGAGGATAGAATTTAATTTAGAAATGCAACGTGAAGTTTTAACTGTATGTCAACCAGTAGTTTTTATGGTTTGGTATAAAACTATGAGTAATAAAAATTTACCGCTTTGTCTTTAATGCACATTGAAACCCAAACCAACTCTACGATGAAATATGTAAACATATCTCAATTTCCATGTTTCCGTTTTTGTGGTTATCTGTAAAAGTTTGCAAAATTAGACAAAAATTTATAACATTTCTAAACTCACAACGGGACGTGCGTATTAGTAAACCAAATCATCGTTCAAAAAGAAAACAAATAGGCTATTTCGATGTTCAGATTAATATAAACCGTGTAGCATTGAAATATTTTCGAGCACACGAGAAAACTCTGCTTAGCAAATTACTATGTTCAGAAGTACTTATGTAAGTTATACATTAAAATAAGTTTGTGAGTAAGAGTAAAACAATCGAGATGAACTCGTTTGGGCCCGGCATGGCCAGGTGGTTAGGGAGTTCGACTCGCAATCTGCGGGTTCGAATCCCCGTCACACCAATCATGCTCGCACTTTCAGCCGTGGAGGGCGTTATAATATTCGGTCAATCCCACTATTCGCTGGTAAAAGAGTAGCCCAAGAGTTGGCGGTGGGTGGTGATGACTAGCTGCTCTCCCTCTTGTCTTACACTGCTAAATAAGGGACGGGTAGCGCAGATAGCCCTCGTGTAGCTTTGCGCGAAATTCAAAAAACACGTGCGATAAGTTTGTTTCAGATTTTAAACTGAAGAGAAATTTAGTGAGATGAGTAATAACATTCGTAGATAATCTCACTGAAACAAGTACAAAGTGTTTCCTCTAATTGCTTCCTTCTTTTTTATTCATTATTACTTATGGTATTGGTTGGGAAATGATAATTGGAAAGTTTATTCTCATTAACAAATAATTGACTAACTTGGACAATTCAGATCCAGTTGCATAGTTTTTATCCAGACCTTTCTGGTCTTTGTATTTAGTATATTAGTTCAATTAGAAACATTTCTTTTTTGATTAATTGAGGAAATAAAGAGAATATCGTATATGATGATTTTGTTTTTCGAGGTAACGAAGCTTTGCATAAGTATTTTCAGCTGATAAGACGAGTGCAAAGTTCAAGACCAGAACTTAAATATTTAGTATTAGTCACTGCGACTTATTATTTTAATTTTAGAATACATTGGTGCTTTTCTGTGTAACTGTTGTTTGTTGTTGTTTTTTTCCCCCAGCGGCATGTCTGCGGACTTACATCGCTAGAAACCGGGTTTCGATACTCGTGGTGGACAGAGCACAGATAGCCCATTGTGTAGCTTTGTACTTAAGTTCAAACAAAGAAACTGTTTTTTAACGTTAATGTACTAAAAAAGCGAATATTGGTCGCACACATTTTTCAGTAAAAAACATTTGAAATATGTAATTAAAATGAAGCTTGGTATTGTAATTACAGGAAAGGAAATTACAGTTTCTAACAATGTAAATTCAAACTATTTCTACGGATCGATTGATGATAAGGCAAATTTACTTGTCTTACTATAGTATTGAATATTTTTGTCTTACAGGCTATACCAAAAAAATACTTGTATCAGCATGTGTTTTTCTTGCTATTGTAGCAAATTTTTTTCCGCTCGAGGGACAAATGAATTAGTCAATTTATAACAGTTTCATACCCCCCCCCTCTCTCTCATTTGGTGGCTTGAAGGCTAATAGTAGTAAATATTTGGGTTCAATCCACTTGATGGGCGCGTTACAGTTAGTCCATTGTACAGTTTTTTACGCAATGACAAGTCCTCTCCAAACTGTTGGAGACTGCTTGTGTTTGTTTGGAATTAAGCACAAAGCTACACAATGGGCTATCTGTGCTCTGCCCACCACGGGTATCGAAACCCGGTTTCTAGGGTTGTAAACCCGCAGACGTGCCGCTGGGGGGGACTGCTTGTGTTTAAAATGTCTGGCAAATAAAAATGTTAATAAATGCAATAGTGTTATGAAAGCTTGCTTACACATGTCGCCTTAATTTTGAATCAGTTTGAAAATGCTTCTGGCAACTTCTTGAATAAATTATTTCAGTAAGTACATATTTAAAATTTACAAAAGTTACTTGATGATGTACAGAAAATCGGCACTGTTAGATAACTGCTACTGATTACTACAAGCGATACAAATAACGCTGTATTATTATCCGAACCAAATAAAATATTCTAGCACAAGTGACAAGCGTATTTTTAGTAGGCGATTGAAAAATGTACATATCTTCAATGTAAAATAATATGTGTATATGTAGTTGAAGAATGTGACAAACATGGCTTATATGTGTTAGAAAAATACTTGAAGTAAGATATCCAAATATTTCAACAGGATGATAACATTTTCATCCCCTTTTCTTTATTATGTATTACATTGTAATTTTCCAGTTTACTAAGTATTACATTCTAAAGTAATATTTCCAGCCTAACTCCACATTACATATTTAGAACAAGTTCGCAATTTAATTCACGAGCTTCTTTTAAGACGAGGGACATTTTAAAATCTCAAGTATAAAATAAATAAATATATCACTTAAATAATATTGTTTTTGTTCCCTTTTAAATTTACAACGTTATAATCCGGGTTTCTATACAGCACAGTACAGATAGCCCATTGTGTTGCTTTATGCTTAATTTCAAACAAACAAACAAACCCTTTTTAATTTCACGCATTGCTACACGAGATAACATAAATAACACCCATCTAATGATTAATACCGAAAATTTATCTTGTCTAACACGCGCTGAACAACTAATCACACACACGTGCGCTAATCGAGATGTAAACAACTTGCTTACATGCTTTCTATTTTCACTCCTTTTCAGTGAGTTTTAACTTTATTCAACGTGAACAGTTTAAATTACACAAATTACTCTCATGATACCAAATAAGAAGGTATATATTTATCCCTTGTACACTAAGGACTTTTACTAACGAATCATTTGAAACATCGTTAACAGGTTTTCATAGTGCTGCAGATCTGAAAGGCAAACAATATCGTTAATTATGAAGCATACACAGGTTAAAAATAAAGAGGACCGAAATATTGTATAACTGCTAACTTAGTCTACTATTTTGTCAGCTTGAACGTAGATATAAAGTGGGCACCACAAACCTTGAATCAACAAACCCACATGATTACTATATTCTAAGCTGCCATGTTTTTTATAAATGTAGAGGAGATACTATAATATAGGTACAACATCGATTTTTCCGGAAACGTCACCTAACAGAAAACCGTAGGCCTAACGTTACATAATACTTTATTACTACAAAACAATTCACTTCCGATAACACTGCAGTTTCAATACACATCTGCTCACGCGCTTTACAAAAACAGTAATTAAAAATGTATATTATAGGTAGAATTTTGTGTATGTGTGTTTTGCTTATAACAAAGTCACATGGGGCTATCCGCTGTGTCTACCGAGGGGAATCAACCCCCTGATTTTAGCGTTGTAAATCCGTAGACTTACCGTTGTCACATTTTGTGTATATGCATATGTTAAATAACACCTGGACAAAAGACACTTGCACTTTTCTTAACTTTTTATCTTCACTGTGTAAATTTTTTGTCCAGTATAAAAATAGGGGTACAGGCGTTCTTCACATATGGGCTATACATATTAAGCCATACCGGTACGGTAAGTATCCAGTATTAAGGAACACTTTCTGTCTGTCTGTGGAAGCATCTTCTCCTAAACGAGTTGACTGATCCAGAACAAATTTGGCATGCTAACTTAGAAGTCCAAGAGCAAATAAATTCTTATTAAACCTTCCCATGTATTGAAAAATAAAAATATTATATAGAATAACCCGTATATCGTTACTATAATAGCTATTGTGAATAGTTGAGTTTCAACAAAATTCTTCAAGTCAAAAATTTAAATAAAGTTTTCAGCATTTTGGCTTGTTTCCCATAATCAGAATATACAGTAATAAAATATCCAGTTACAATGCGAAGCCTCTGTCTGGATCGGTATTTGGTCGTTGTGCGCAACCTGAGAAGGTCAGACCTCTTCCTCCTCCCTTTACTATTGCATATCAAACTGTCAAATGTTATAATATATTTACAAAATCAGGGCTTGGACATTATGTAGAACACTGGGTTGAAACACTGATTCTACTTCCTTCTTCAGGACCGTGTTCATGAATATAATGCTTATAGCATTTAGTGCTATTTCACTACTTCTCTTCATTTGTTCCATAGTAAAATA